CTTTCCTTTCCTTTCCTTTCCTTTCCTTTCCTTTCCTTTCCTTTCCTTTCCTTTCCTTCCCTTGTACCTTTCCCTTTTCAAAGGCTTCATGTTCTAGACAGCCCCTCCCAATTCCCCAGAGGCCTGAAAACCTAAGAAACAACTACTGTCAAAATATCATAGACAAGCTTGGGACAAAAGAGAAAATGGAAGATGTGGAAGAAATACATTGTAGTGGAGCAAGGATTAGGCCAAAGCACCATATGTCCCTGGACATCAAATCAAAGTGTCCAAGTTGGTGGAGGTGGTGATCTGGAGATGTCACTCCTATGACTGAAGCCCAAAGTCTATAGGACAAGCACGTTCTGTGGCTCCCAGGCCACCACACACACACACACACACACACACACACTTAGCCAGGCCCTAAGCTAGAGAAGTGGGGAGGCACGGGAATAAGAACCTAGAGAACTGGGTCCCAGTGCTAAGTGGCTGTGTGTCTTTGACCAAGTCCCTCCTTCCCTCAATGCCTCAGTTTGCTGCCCTAGGGAGAGCCAGTTCTCAACTAGAACTTGAACTACCCAGTGACTTAAGCCTCTCCTTTCTTCTCCAGTCTAAATGCTCAGCCACCTCAGGCACTGTTGCTTATGACAAGAACACAGAGCACATGGCCCACTTTTAGAACCATAAGGAGCCTCTATGCTGAGGAGTATAACTCACAGAGGAACACAGGCTCCTCTGCCTCAACTGTCACTACACTGCCTGTTCCCATCCTGCCCCTCAGAAGTAATCAGAGTGGAACCAGCACTGACGTGATATTCTAACTCCCCTGTAGCAGCCTTTGCAGCTGGGAAGTTCCCGCAGCAAGACATCTTTCCTTTATAAGGAGTGGATCCTCCCTCCTACACACAAGCAACTGCAGGTCCTTCCTGGCCAGGAGCAACCTGTTCTTTTTGTCCAGAAGCCAGCCTCAGCTTCATAGATTAAACAAAAGGAACAAGGAGAGCCAGCAAAGTCCTGTGGGGAAGGGTGTAGCAGGGCACAGAGGTCCCCGGTCACCTGCATCTTTGGGGTGGGAAGACATGCTGCTAGGGCAGAGGTTCTGTCCCCTTCACCCTAATAAAGGAAGCAAATGACGAATCTGAGATGTAGAGCTTTGAAGGCCCACAGGCATTTGCTCAGGGCTCAGTTGTACCTCATTTATGGCACAGAATGTCTCCACCCTTCTTGGATGAACTAGGAGCCACTTGAATTACTTTAACCTCCTTAGCTCAGGAACCAACTCTAAAATATAGAGACTGTCCTATTTCTTTCTGCCCAGAAGACGAAGGTATCTTTCAGTCCAATCTTTACCTGATTCACTCTGTCTGGAAATTTGCCATTTCTCTTGCAGTCACAGTTGCTCTTCCCAGGGGATCCAAGAATCATCTCAGCCAAGAACTCAATCCTCCTGTACTCCTTTCCTGACTTTTCCTGGTTAGGTTTGGTGCTATAACCTATAAAGGAAGGCTGGTACTTTGCGGTAGCCAGATCCCTCTTTACCAAAATTGCTCCCCACACACAACTGCTGCCAAAATTCCCTACTCACTACCCTTCTTACACTATTTCTTACCTCCTCTGTTACACATTCAAATACTAAGATGCTGTTTCCCACTGGAAACAGCACCGGAGAGAAGGGAAGAAGAACCACAAAAATCAAACATATTTTTTTTTAATTTGGCAGGGAAAAAAAAAATCTATGTATTCTTATGGAACCAAGTTCGGGAGCCAGGGTCCATCATGAGAATCATATTCTAGCATCCAAAATGGTCACAGAACTTCAGAATCAGCCTCTCACTTTACTGATGAGCTGAGATAACATACCTAAGGCCATGTACTATCAAGTGAAGCTTAGGATCTTGAATTTATAGCTTTCAACAGTGGGGTCAACACAGCAATGTTCTTTTCACCAAATTGTATCTTACTAGGATGGATACCGTGATCACCAATGGAAAGCATTAACAGGGCCCCTGACTCATTTCCCACCCCAATCTGTGCCATGTAACACAGTTTGGTTTTGGTTCATCACAAAATCTATTTGTTTATAATTTCTAATTATGGATTTGCTTTTCCAGAAGTACAGTCTAGCAATTCAGAGCTTATACAATTAAGTCAAACGGGGTATAAAGCAAAGCCTGGAAGGTGGGATGATACCATTAACAAATGAGGTGTGATTATCATGTAAATCCTTCCAGATGTAGAAAATGGAATTACTGCAAGAGACTAGAATAGTCCTAAGGACAGAAATTGCCTCACTGGGGAAGAACAGAAACCAACACTTGCAGGAAAGCTGGACCTCTTTAGAAACTAGGACTTCAAGAGAGGATACCTGGACCACCTCTTTGATGACAGCTAGCCATCACTGAGCTGCCATGGAGTCCCAGATGCTGCTGCAGCATGAGTTCTACCTAGACTACTCTTTGAATCCCCCTTTTGAAAGAGATGCCATTACTAAGCCCTGTTTTACGGAAGAGACCCACAAAAAGTAAGTAATTATCCCAGGGTTGCAAAGATCCCCTAGTTAGACAGAGTAGAGTGGAAAGGCGGGGAGTATAGCCCCTGGGCCGAGCTCTAGCCAGGATTCCTTATACTTCTGGAGTGCATTTACTCCAAGAAGAAGGTGCAGAAGATACTCAAGAAGGAATGATCATCCACCCTAGGCCAGCAGGTCAAGACAGTGAACATAGGTAAGGAGAGGCCCAGGGAGAGGGAACTGGCTAGATAAAATGCTAACAGCAGCATCTGATGTAGGCCATGCTGGTTGAGCAAGCTGCTGGCATCTTGCCTCACACCTGCATAGACACACTGACCCTGTCCTGGCTGTGCACCCTGTCTACTGACTCCAGGGTGGATTAACATGCTTCTTGATGGGGCCCTACCTTTCGATAGGGCAAAGCCTGGTGGCAGAGAGCCAAGAAGAAATGCCAGAAGAAATCAACACTGAAGGCTGACAGCCTGAAAGTTGGATTAATGGTCCCCAGACAGAGGCAAAGTACACAAGTACCCAATAGCTTCAGGCAGCCCACACTTTCCCCTGAACCCTCCATGTACTTGATGAACCACCAGATACATGGCCCGTGCGGGGCTACAAAGATATGATGTGATGCCTGCCTTAAAGGGATTGGCAAGTACTGGCACCCATAATCCCCACACAAACACAAGAGTATTAATCAGGCAAGTATGGTATACTTACAAGAGCAATGACACAGAATGCTTTAAATCAAGACTATCCAAAATTTACATTTTGGCAAGGTAATCTATATGTACTTATTGAAGAACAAGAAACACAGCAAAAGCAACTGCTAAGGTAATAAAAATGATAGCTACTACTATCAGATGGATATGCTAGATGATAAAGCAGCTCAACTTCAAAATAGCCCCCACAAGTGGAGTATCATGCCTTCTAAAGATGAAGAAAGTGGAGTTCAAGTAGCTGACTCATAGTCCATTATTTATAGGAAGTCCAATTGCTGAGATTCAAACTCTGTTCTGCTCAACTCCAAGCCAGTGGCCTTTCCATTCTACCATGTGTGCAAGTCAAGGAATCAAGACACAGTGGGAAGAGCATTGAGGTGTGGAGGGAAGAAAACAACCACAGTGAAGTTCAAAGGATGGTAGAGAGCAATATCTATGGTAGGAGAAATTGCTTTTGTTAATTAACCCAGTGGTTAAAAAGAAGTGGAGCTAGAGAGATGGCTCAGTCATTAAGAGCACTTTCTGCTCTTGTAGATGACCTAGATTCAGTTCCCAGGACCCACATGGTGGCTCACAACCATCCAGAACTCCAGTTCCACAGGATCCAAAACCTTCTGACTTAGGAAGGCACCAAGAACACACCTGATGCTCATACACACACATGGCAAAACACTTAAATGCACATAAAATAAATAATGTTTTTAGTAATAGGAGTGGGTGAAAGGAAGCCATCACTCTAGTGGCTGAGGCAGGAGGGTGAGGAGTTTGAGAACAACCTGAGCTATGTAGTAAGAATATATAAAGTAAGAATATGAAAGGTATGGGGAAGTAGAAAGTACAGAAGGGCCCCTCTCTCCTGATAGCTTCCAAAGTCTGACTTCAGAGCAGAGCCCAATGCAATAACAATTCCTTCTTACCATGTTGGGGGGTGGATATAAAACATGAATCATCATTTTACAATTCCTAGCTTTTAATTTGAACACTGAATGCACTACCTGCTGCAAGTACTTGATTCATACCAAACATCAGCCTCTGTTTCCTTAAAGATTCTGCTCCACACAATATAAAAAACATCCTACTCCATGCCCAGCACACAGGGTCTGAGAAAATGGCTTAACAACTAAGAGCACATACTGCTCTTGCAGAGGATCTGAGTTCAGTTCCCAGCTCCCAAGTCATGCAGCTCAAAACCACCTACAACTCCAGCTCTAGGGGGATCTTACACGTCTGACCTCTAGGGACAGATACACTCATTTGCATGTGTGTGCACTCACACTCACAGACACATGTACACACACAAACACACACACTACCACTCCCTACAAAATATGGTACCGCTCAAAACCAAAACCACAAAATCAGTGACAGGCTTTAGGGTTATGAACGGGGAAAGTTGGGAGTGTGAATGAAGACCATAAGACAGTGGAGTCCACCTGAATAATCCCAAAGGAAGAAGAAAGAGAAAGTTAAAGAACGGAGGAAGAATGCCGTGAAATGACACAAAGCAAAGAGAAATAAAATGAGTGAAAGCAGGAGGAAGACATAAACTCCAAGTCATAAAAAGGAAAATGAAGTCATGTCAAAAGCGGAAATGTCACAAACAGTGAAGCAGATGGAGCAAAGAGAAAAGGTCATTTATAACACAGAAACAGACTTCTCTCCCCATTCCAGTGCTCCCCAGGTCAGGAACCCTTTATGCATCCAATCTCTTAGAGAGCAGCCTCAGGTCCTGGGAAGAGAACACACACACAGACACACACACACACAGAGCTCCCCACAGGGAAGCACTTAACATACTATGCTGTGATTGACAGCTCTTTGCCACACTGACAATTCCTACCAGGGCTTGGGCCACACATTATTAGTATAAACAGCTCCAGCCAGAATAGTACCTGGAAGTCTTAGATGCTCAAGAGGATGAATGAGTGAATGGACAAAAGCCATTTGTTCCACAAAGGGTTACTGAAGCAGCAGAGGCACTGGGCCTAAGAACAGGGAAGACTCAGCAAAGCGGGGGCCTTAGGAGTCACAGCAGTAAGTACCTGGCATCTGCAGCCCCTCCGTGCAATGAGAAACCAGAGACGCTGCACTCTTCATAGAAATAAATGAGAACGACTCTGGCTCTGATTCTCAGCATTGCCTCGATCTGTTCCTGGGCTGACCTCACCCTGCTGTTATGAGCCTGGAGGCTGGCTGCTTTGCAAAATCAGATGTGCTCTCTTTGTCCACGAGCTTATTCTGAATCCTTACAGAAACTCTTCCAATTGTCAAAACACTTGCAGTATGATCAATGTATTCTCTCTTCCGGACAGCTAAGATTCCTGGAGACCACATTTGTCTTGGTCTAGAAAGAACAGCTGTTTGCCCGTGTTCTCATCCAATACTGTACCTTCCCCCAGGGGAGATTTGGGGGAGGAGGAGCTGTGCCTCAGGAATGAGATGTTCCTAGGACTCTGAGAGTACAGCAGGCCCCAAAATCTGTGCTGGCGTGGAGGTGGGGGAGGAGCTGTTTATCCAAGCATGACACTGGAACCTTGATGACGGGCCTGCCAACACAGACTCCCTACTCTCTAGTTATACCCTCTAAATACCTAAGAGAAAAACAGCTTCTCACACTCACATCTGCGCATCACCGCTCCTGAACCAAGTGGTCATGCAGCTTTTACCCATTATGCACAGACGACATGGCCCACTGGGGGCCACCCCTGAGAAACAGAAGCTGCCATGCTGTTTGATTGCTTCTTCGAAAAGGCCATCCCTTCTGATGGTGTGGCCTACTTTTCCAGTCGGGCCTCTTCTTCTCAGGGTGGGTTCCAAAAGTCAGCCTTAACTGGACTGAGCTCTGTTACTCTAGAGCCAGGGAGTGACCTCCACAGGGGCATCTCAGGTAGCAAATGGGACAGCAGCTGCTTTACCCATTAAGATATCCTGTTCTTGGCCTTTGCTTTTTCTCCCAGCAATCTGACTGCAAAGCTGGTCTGGGTGTAGAAGCTGAAGCTTCTTCTGCAGTTTCCCGGTGACTCAAGCAGGGCTTCTAGGGCTGGGGCTGCGGCCGTTCAATAGACCTCAGTTGGAAGAATGAGCACAAGGAAACAAGGCTCAGGCCAAAGACCTCCCTAGAGAAACCAGGTGGTGGGAGGAGAAGAGGCTGGGAAAGGAGGAAGTTCCAGCGCAGGAAAGGACTAGCTGTGCCAAATGGGTTACTGTGGAAGACTCCGGCTCCAGCTTATGGGCGCCAGACCAACTCTAAGTGGCCATTTAGAAACGCAGAGAGTGAGAGCCATGAAGGTAACAAAGAACCCTGTACCCTGGCCAGAATGCTGTGGTTATGATAATAAAACAAAACAAGGACGCTGCAGGGATTGAAATCACAGCTCCCAAAATCAGAGAAAGCAGGGCACTCGGATGACTCTTCTTCTCCAGTGTCTAAAGAATTTCAGGAATCCAGATCTTCACAGCGCCCAACTTTTAGGTCAACACTTAGGGATCAAATGTTCATAGGTTAATAGCTTCTTGAGATAGAAGACCTAGTAAAGACTCGAGGAAGGCAGGGCTCTCTTCCCACATCTGGGTCTGTCTCTCATGTCCCATCTTAGTATCTTTCCAATCCTGCAGCTGGAATGTCCCAATGCTCTTGACTAGGTTCACACGCCTCACACCACCTTGCATAGCAAAGGCAGAGCAGGGTCCTGCCCTCAAGGGAGGGTCTTCAAACTAGAGCATGAGCACTCTTACCTGCTCTTAGGATACAGCTAGGCGAATGGATCCCTGTCTACTAGCAAAGATCAGAGAAAACTGAACGGCAGTTTCCCCGGCTCCATTCTAAGTGAAGCTCCGAAATGGTTCCAGTTCCAAACAGGTGGCCTTCCTAGACTGCACGCTAGGAATCGTTTGGACAAGGCCCAACAGAAAAGGATGCAGGGAAAAGCGGTGGTAGAGCCTATACTTAAGTCTGGCCTTTCCTAGCAACTCACAAACTGTTGCAATGATCCCCCCTGTCTCAATCCAGGATTCCCAGACCCAAGACAGAGAAAGGATGACAAGTTGCCCACTAGAAATGCAGCAGGCACTGATCTTGAATCACCTTCCAGGACTTCATCCAGCAAAAGTTAGCCTGCTAGGAGATGTCAGAGAAAACTTAGCCACCCACAAAGAGGGGAAGGAGTTCCCATTCCCACCATCTACAACACCATCCTCATAGCGCCTCCTATGGGCCTTGAAGACAAACTGCAGCTCAGGGGAGGCAACTACCCGTGTTCCAGCCCCTCAGCGCCTGATGCAGAAGGCGCTGATTGGCTACATCGGGACAACACCTTCTGAAAAAAGCAGGATCTCCTCCAACCTCCCCAGAAGCACTGGAGCTCTGCTGAGCCTAGGAGAGGACTCTGTTTAGAACTTCCAAAGCTAGAATTTGAAAGAAACCAATTTAAAGGTGGCATTGGGTGGCACAAAGGAGCTTTGGAGATCTAAACTCAATGACTCTTAAAAAAAATGGGGTTGAATCCACAGAAGTGATAGATCAACTCACCTGTCTGGTGAAGAGGATGGCTGTGTCCCAGTACTCAGGATGCTTGTCGCTCACTTTGTTCAGCTTTTTCTGCCAGGCACAGAAGTTGCGTAGAGTCAGGGCCGCGTTGCCTGTGACCTTGGGCCCAGTGTCACGATCTCCTAAGAGTAACACCTTGACCACAACGATGTTGATAGGGTTGAGGATGCTGGGGTGGCGGTAGAGACGCGCCGCGGTGGCCAGCAGCGTCAGCAGATAATGTTCCAAATCCCCGCCGTGAAACTTGACCATTGACTCGTCCGCCACCACCAGTGTCTCCACGTACCGTGGTACAGACACGAAGCGCTTGGCGCGCCCAGACCTGCGCCGATTGTGACTCTCCCCAAAGCCCGTCCGCCGTGGCTTATAAGGGTCCAGAGCCCTCAGGATGGCGGGGTTCCAGCCCGAGGCCACCCCGCAGCGAGAAGTTGGGTCTCCGGAAGGCCCTCCAGGAGCACCCCGGCGCTGGAGAAGGTGTGCGCCCTGGCTGTGACGCTGCGCCTCTGGCGCGCTGGTGTTGGGCAGAGGGCTAATGACATACTCCGCACCTCGGTAGCCAAAGGCTCCGCGGAGACCCCCGCATAGGCTCACAGCAGCAAAGGAGTCTGGCTCCGCGTTCACATACCCGGAATAGAAGCAGCGTCGTAGGTCTAGAGAGCTGCCAGTGAGCCTCTGCAGGGGGACACCCAGATACTCAGTAGCAAAGGCGGGAGCCAGGAACTGGGCATCCGGCGTCAGGTGTAGATAAAAGTCCTGCTGAAAAGCTGTTATCTGAAAAATGAAACCCTGATCCCCGGAGTCCTCCGTACCCCTCCTGTAGTAGTGGCGGCCATTGATGTCCGGGTCCCGTCGGATTGGAACGACCACCTCCCACTCTGGCTCCGAGCTGCCAGCAGGTCGCCAGGCGAGAGCCAGGATTGAGATGCCCAGGAGAAGCATGGCGCCGGGCCGCGCACAGACGCGCTCTGGGATGGGACTAAGCCCGGCTCCCACGGCAAGCACTGTCCCCTTGTAGCCCACACACCAACGCCCGGGACAATGGGCAGTTCCCAGAAAGGACAGCCAACCAAGACCGGGAGACTCCTCCCAGAGCAGCGAGCGTGCACGGGGCAGCCCGCGCCTCCTACCTGTTCCTCCCTGAGCAAAGCGCGCTCTGGGAGCTTTAGTACGATCGCTGTCAAGTGCACAGGCGAAAATTTGCGGTGAAGAAGTGACGCGAGGTGGCGGGCTGCTTTGCGAACCGCAGCCGCTCGCGGTGCAGCAAACTAGGCGCTGGGCGAGCCTATTAAAGGCCCCCTCCTCTTTGGACTGCCCAGTCAGCGCCCCTCCCCTCACTCCCCTCCCAGCCTCCCAGAGCTCGCAGTCTGGAGCCTCCAGGGGCCACTGGAGAATTCGGTCCCGCCTCCTAAGCAAGAGCCACTTGGCGGGGAGGGAGTGGCGTTATGCTGAGGCAGGAGGCGTGGGCTGACCTAAGAAACGAACGCTGGAGCCTATTCACGTTTTTTGTCCTAGGTAACCCAGCGCTGAGATGCATCAGTTACTTGGTGGTGAGCTCTCTGAGTCTTAGCCTTCCCAAGGCAGCTGGGCCCGGGAGTGAGGAACCAAGACAGCACCGACCTCTTTTTCCAGACTCATCTCTTTCCTCCAGTTCCAACAGCCCCCACCCTGCTTCTTAACCATCAAGTCTCCAAGAAGACCTCAAACCGAAGAGCGTCCTTTAAACGTCCTAACGTTGGGAAAACAACCTCCAAGAAACACAGCCAGCCCTTCTTGAACCCAGAGTCACCCAGACCCACATGGGCTGCCCTCTGGGGTCAGCACTGTGCTGGATGGGCTCAGACAGACTGCAGGTTTTCAGGAATTCTGCCAGGCAGATGTTAAATGCGGCCATTATTCAAAACTAAATTATATAAGCTTATAATTAAATAAACTATATTTTAAAACAAAGATGATAAACTCTCAAAACTCCATCTCTTCCTAATTATCTCATGGTTGTCTCTGGTCTTGAGCCACTGAGACCTTCAACCCTTCCCCCCACAACCCCAGAGCTCCCAGAGAAGAGCAGAGAAAGATGGAAATGCAAATGGCCTTCCACTTAGTATCTCCATCTCCCCATACAGCCACATGGCAATTGACTTTCAAAATAGGTTCTGGTGAAGGTACAGTGAATGCTAGTTATCAGGGCTTGGAGAGAGGAGGCAAGCCCTTAATAAACATTTCCTAGTGTCTGAAGGAAATAGACAAGAAAATGCTGGTTGTCTTCTAACAGGGAGAGCTAAGGGACTGGTGGGCAATAGAAAAATAGAAAATAGAGACCATGCATCATCCTCTGTATGTATTTTGATCCTTACCCAAGTATAGGGCAAGGCACTGGAGTAGGAACGTGAGTGTGGATCTGCTGGAGAAAGCACAATCATGCTGTAAAGTTCCCATCCAGCTTGGAGAGAAGGCTGGGCACCTGTACGTGGCACTAGACCTCAAGATTCTAATATCTTTGCAGAATATGGAACTGGATAGATAGCTCAGTGGTTTAGAGCCCTTGCTTGTTCTTGCAGAGAGCCCAGGTTCAATTCCCAGCACCCATAGTGGCTCACAGCAATCCATAACTCCAGCACATGGGGATCTGATACATTCTAACCTCTTTAAGCACAGGCATGCCCAGACACACGTGCAGACAAAGAAGTTGTGTACACACAATAAAATAAATAAATTTGTGCAGAATTTCCTTTCTCCCCCCTCCAACAAAAAAGAAACCCAATAGAGGAAGGAGGTTTTCCTGCCTAGTCTTTCTTGAAAACCAGAAAAATCTTTGAAGAAACAAAGTGCCCTGGGTTGCATTGGGAAGAGAACAGAAGAAGTGAGTGTGATCATTTTTAAAGATAAAGAAGGTGCTGAGAAAAGGTTGTGGAGTTGTATTGAGACGTGGCTGCTCAAGGAAGCAGGTTCCATTGTCAAAGGAAAGAGAAAGCTGGGTCAGGTCCACCACTGAAAAGCCTGTTATCTTCCCTCCATAAAGAACCTTAGAGGAGCCCTCCAGGGCCTTGAAACAGGAAGACTGACACCTGCCCATAATTCTACTGAGGCTCCTCCTTAACTGAGACAAAGGATCTGAGACTCATTATAGTAAATGAGTAAGAGATGGGTGTTTATGCTCTATAAATGAAAGGGAAAGTAGCTCTATGAGAAGAACGTGTGTAAAAGGGAGTTGCACTTTACAAAAGCCTTGTGTCTGAGTGGTCGAAGAAGGCCTATAATTAAAGAGCAACTCAGCAATGAAAAGTCGTTTGTTTAGAGAGAGCAGCTCCTTTTCCACACCAGACAGTTTTGATGGTGGGTTACAAGATTTCCAACCACATCTTACTTTCACAATGATGGGTTTAAACACGGTCTTGCTGGCTGTCAATCAACATGCCAAGCCCAAGGAGAGGAAAACTTCTCTTCCCCAGAACTTCAAATTTCCCTTCCCCAGTCACAGCCCAAAGAGCTCATACCTGAGCATGGTACCTAGCCATGTGGACTTATTCAAAGATGCTGACATGTGTTGCACACTTACTATGGGCTAAGCACTGCACCAAAAGTTTTATGTTCATTGTCTTCTTTAGTGTTGGGAAGACAATTCTATTCAGTCACTTCTGCCAGGGATTTCTAGTGAGGAAGTCGAGACAGAGAGATATGGGGGTGGAAAGCACAGGCCAGTAGAAGTTAGGAGAACTCAGAACCCACAGTGCTTTTATTACTGATAGGATTCTCAGAATCCGGATTTCCTCGTCTGTCGAGTGAGCAGGGATCAATTTAGGTAAGGGATCTTCTGCCAGAGGACCTCATTGAAAAGCTCTAACCTCTAAAGACACTTCCATATCAGACATTTATGACTATTTGACTGAGGCCTACAGACAGCAGTGTCAAACAGATAAAGGCACAGGATCGGTGTAATGAAACAGATAGATGAGACAGATAGATAGATAGATGATAGATAGATAGATAGATAGATAGATAGATAGATATGAAATCAATGGAACTCTTTACATGTATAATAACACAGAGAGAGAAACAGAGAGAAAGAGAAGCAGAGAGAGAGAGAGAGAGAGAGAGAGAGAGAGAGAGAGAGAGAGAGAGAGAGAAACAGAATCACAAAGCTTTCACCACATACCAGCACATTCTTGGGTACATTGCAATATTTTTCCTATGCTTCAGTATCTCCATTGTTAAAATGGGGGAGGGGTCAAGGATAATACCTTAACTTCAATAGTCGTGAAGATTAAATAGCTAATACTTTTAAAGGGTACAATAGTGTTTAGCATATGTAAAGATTGTGTCTTAAAATGTCATCTACTAGTACTAGAGACGTTGCCTACAATCACCATCATCATCACCATCACCATCATCATTGCTGCTACCAAGCTTTACTAAGCCCTATAGTTAGCATCATAGCCTTCTGAAGTTTTCCATACTATCAACAGACAAGGGAAGAAAGTTTATGGAAATATCTTCCCCAGCTCTGCAAGGGACTCCCCTGTGGCTTCAGTTGCACAGTTCCCATGCTAGGACCCCACAGTTACCACCCTCTTGCTTCTCTCTGTCCTCTGTGATGCAATTATCCTTGGGAGGTAAAAGGTAACAACCCCACCAGAGAGAGATCAGGAGTTGTCACTTGTAAACAAACATCTCAATCTGGTCTTTAATACTCTTGAAATCTCAGCCGACAAGCAGCTTCTCCCAGGGCTGTCTCCAAGCCCCCCAACCTAAGTGTCACAATGTGGCAGTTATGATGGCATACTTTGTTTAGACCCTAGCATTTATCTCAGTTTTTAGAAAGAAATTTTTTATTACCTTTATTTGTGAGTGTACAAAGCAGACTTGTGGAGGTCACAAAACACTCATCAGGAATCTGTTCTCTCCTGCCACCTTGTGGGGTCTAAGGCTGGATCTCAATCATCAAGCTGGTGCAGACACCTCTATCCACTGAGCCATCCCTTTGGCCCTGGATCTTTACTTTGTCATTTACAAACACACACACACACACACACACACACACACACACAGCTGATAGAGGGAGTGACCTCATGTGTCTTGCTCACTGTTCTACTCCTCGGAGCCAGGTATAGTGCTGGGCCCACCAGACTCTCCATAAATACTGATTGAATGATTAAACCTACTCTATGCTCAGCTTCATGAGCAATGTCAATAAAAATTGACAAGCTATTTTACCTACAAGATGAAGTAAACCTGACCCATGATATAGACTCCCCAGTACACTGCTTTTGCAATTCTCCATGCCCCCTCCTCCCACCTCTCCGACACAAACTGAAGCCCACTACCTCATTACCTCACCCAGAACCTTCATTTCAGGGTTGAGACATTGCAAGTTCAAATGAGTATATTGGTTTGTATAAAGCCAACCAGTCATCCAGCTGCCTTACCCAGCACAGGAATTCACCTCTCTTCACACTACCTTAACACTGAATGGCTGTTCTAACCTAATCAACTAGCAGCTGGCTGCTTCATGTAGCTCTTAGCATGTGAGTAGTTCTATGGAAGTCATTTCTACTGCAGAAAATATCCTCTTCCTCTCTATATCCATCTATAGATGACTGAATCCCCTCCCATATTGAACTGACACAAAAAGGTTCTATTTGCTTGGCCTTTTCTAATTGCATTGAGCCATATTCTGGGACAGGGCTACAGCCATCATGCCCTGGAAACTCATCAAAATCGTGCCTCCTTTTCCTTCTATGTCATACTCTGTGATGTTCTCCAGCATAGGGGTTGACTGCATGGCTGGGCCTGGTTCATTCAGGAGGTTCCAGGGAGATCAGTTTATACAAGAAGCACTGAGACCAGATGCAGCCACAGTTGAATTATATTTTACTTCCATCAGAGGCTAGGCTAGTGATTTTCTAACATGAATATCAAAGATGACTGTGTTGCCTGGGGCATCCTGGGAGACCTTCCCAAACTACCAAGATCAACCAAGGAGCATACCATGGAGACTAGGGGAGCAAGCACTGTACTGGTTCAGCAAGATTTTTGGAAAATGATTGGAAGCATTTTGATTTCTCAGATTGGAGGCTGTAAATCATTGGCTCACCAAGTTGGGATTTAAACCATGCTTTACACCACAATGTGAAAATGGATTTATGAACTTATCAATTCATCCCTTGTATCTTTATGACTTTATTACTCTTTGTCAAAGATCCCTAAATGTCACCTGGCAGTCATCTGCTCATCATGGAATCTACACCAAAGAGAAAAAA